TATTTTATACACTTATTCTTCATCAACATATAATAAACGGCAATTCAAAATTCTTTTCAATCACATTCATGCAGCATATGCTTTTTGTAATAATAGCAATGTAAATCCAGCTCCTGTTCTTTTATGCAATTCAAAACACGAGCCTTCGGCAACTATCATTGTAATTATCAGAAATCCTTTATTATAATTTATCAATTTTTTATTAAATTTTACATTTAGTATCTCTTTTGATCATCAGATGAGATTACCTCAAATCATGCAATTAGAAAGATGTTTTCTTTATACAATTCAAAATTCTTAAATCACATCATGCATCATATGCTTTTTGTAATAAGAGAAATGGCTCAGTTTCTGTTATGTAACTCAAAACATGTGCCTTTCCACATCACTTGCTGTAATTGCAAACCAATACCAGAAAACCTGTAGCAAACATAAATCTTTATTAATTTTTTGTTAAATTTCACATAGTATCTATAGTTTGAAATATTATGTGAAAAGTATGAAATTACTTCAAATCATCCATTAAGAAAGAAGTTTTTTAAGTTGAACTTTATGTGCTACTTTACAGAATTCTTCAGCACAACTTAGTTAAAGGATTGACATTATGGAATTTTACCATCCACAATTCTTACCTGAGGAGTTATTAAAGCATGAAATACGAAAAATCAGTAATCCCCCTACTGGGGACTAAAATCTGGTTCCTCCAACTGATTTTCGTACGAGCTTCAAATTGTAACACAAAGGCAACAGTAATTTATCTCTTGTCATTTTACAGTTTTCGGACGAGCTTCAAGTCAGATCACAAAGGCACAGGTAATTTATTTCTTGTAACTTTACAGTTTTTATAGCCTAGTTATGGCCCACTCAAATGTGTTTCATGATAAGATTTTCTACTCTCTAAGCTACAACATAATTAGCTTTGTTTTTATTGAACAAGTGAAAATTCACAGAATCGAAAATAATGTACACATGTTATGAAATCATACACAAAATTTCAAATGGGAGAAAGATAAATTATGAGAATGATACTGACCTACATTCAAACAGTAGGAAAACAAGTAGCCTTAGACAAAGAACACATGACCTGCATCAAAAAGTAAAGTAATCACACATGCTATTACACCTTAGTTACTCATCATGCAATTTTTGAAAGACTTGTTGAGCACAAACTCTGAACTACCGACTGAAATTTGCAAGGAATGCATTAAAATTTATGCCAATTAGTTCATGCTGAGTTCTAAAATTATGAAATATAAATCTACAAAAACTGAAGGCATAATTACATAAACAAGCAGTAGAATAAGACTTTTTTCATTCTTCTGGACCACAGAGGACGGAGGACAGACAAAGGGGGAAACTAATAACATTGCTTTCTTCCTTTGGCAAACTCCTCAAAGTTTTCCATACTCAATGACTTGGAGTCTTTTTATTAAAAAGTTAAGTAAGTGGTAAATGTAATATAAACAGAAGTAAATAATAGAAGACTTATTTTGAAACTAGAACTGAAGACTAGTAAATTCTTTACAACATGAGATCCATTTACATGACTAATCTATCCGAAGAAGAAGGATACTATTAATACACTTAAAAGCTGGAGTCTCAGCTATTGATATTATTTTTAAAGAACAGTTAAAAATTCCACAGACAGGCATTTTGTAATTTCACTCAGTACCAACCGAAGTCTTTAATCAGTCAAAAATGTAACATTCCTACAATACAAATTTTAACATCCTTTACCATCAGATTAAACTCATTCATCAAGCACAAATAACTTAACAAAGACAGAAGTAATAATTATCAACTGATTTATCAGGAGTAAATTGAAAATAAAACAGAACTAACTTAGAATAAAGTAAGATAGTAATATGCATAAATTTGTCTTTTCCTTTTGTGCATTAACTTGGACTATTAATGCTTGATCCATTTTCAAAAATGCTTAAACCAACTGTATAGCCAAATATCAAAATTATTGGCAATTAAGAGATCATATTATAGCACAAGTTTCCTTTAATATAACTATTATAATGTATTCCCTTTAAAATCATAATTTTAGTTTAGAGGTTAACATTATCATTATGAAAATAGCTATTTTATCTAAGGGATTAGAGAGCTGCAGTTTGGCCAAGAAAGAACCAATCAACTTCTGAACAAATATTTAGCACATAATTAGCTACTAAGTTTACAAAAATATTACACTTTTGCAACATTAGTTACATAATTCATATATCCCTTTGGCAACTTAAATAAAATAGCTCCCTGATAAATTCTGTGGCAGCAGTGCAAATAGAGGAGCTCCAAGCCGGACAGCTTGTACTGAACAGCTGCCGTATCCACACCATTTTGCACACATTTTTGAGATGTCTTGAGGGAACGATGTGCATCTCTTGGAAATATACAATCCCGCAATATCCATTGCTGTTTCCAACATCTTTTGCTTGGATCTTCAGAAAAAGATTAACATATCTTGGAAATAGGTAAGTTTATAGGATAACTTTAATTCATTCAAAAATATAATGATTGATTTTAAAATGAAATCATAAAGAAAGTTTAACACTTGCATTTTTAAAAAAAATGGGAAGGGAGGAATGGAGAGTTTAAAGTAAAAACGATTTCATTACTTGAAATTTTTAAAGGATTTTGAAAAATAGGCTTTTTTCAATTAAAATTCAACAGATTTTTATTTAAAGGGGGAATTACATATTATTTCTTTTCATTTAAGCCTTAAATTTTATTTAGCGGGTTATGTGAAATTTGAATTACTTAATTCTACAATTCCAGGAAATGTTCTTGAAATTTCTGCTTAAGGAATTACCATTGAATCATGTACTGAAACGATTAACATAACATTACATACACACTGCTATAGTGCAAAACTCATTTCAACTGAGTAAGAGAAGTAACACAATAAATTGTGAAGCGTAGATACTATTATTCATAAGTTCTCGCACAATCAATAAATTTTTTAGTTTGCGGAAATCATTAATTAAGGACATTTCAGGGGAAAAGGTTTTCCTCTCCATCAAACTACTGTACATATCATATTTTATATTGGTCTCACATTGGAGTTTCCACTTCTGAAAACTTTACAAGTGTAAGCTTTTCCTTTTCAATCCTTTATCTCTTTTCAATATTCAAAACTATGTGTAACACATCACACTATACAGAACTACCAATTTAAATTTACAGTTCTAATAACCTATTTCTATCAAATCTTACTGGTATTTTCCTTCTGTACCATATTTCATACATTCAATCTCAATCACCACAGAACAACAAAATTATTTAATGGCATTTAATACAAACCATTACCACTAATGAAGAAAATAAGTTAAAATTAAACTCAACATATACGAGCAAATACACAAAATATTTCCAGAAGGAAGTACGGATAGTTAATCTTCAGAGTAAATCATACCTTTTATGCATCTTTTGAACAATTTCTGCACATCAGAGCAACAACTTATAATGCTTATGGAACCTTATACCTTGGTCCATGTTACCAGATGAAACTACAGTGTTCTCACATTAACAGTCAGGACTATATGAGTAAACTCTTAACTCATGGCAAGACCACCATTAATACTGCAGTGAAAACAAGGGGCTTTCTTAAAGAACTATGTTAAATAAATGGCTAACTAACCTTAGCTATTGTTTTTTCTTTCCAGAAACTTATTATATATATTTTACCTTAGATGGGAGAAAAATATAACATTACTTCTCTCAACTTTACACAATACAAATGACAACTATAGCTAAACTTTGGTTGTGGAGTTAATCTACATCTAAGCAAGCGAACAATGACTTTGTATTTTCACAAGCCAAACTTACAATTTTTCTTCGTTCTTCTATTTTACAAAATATTCTTATTTTTCATTAGGGGGAATTTATTTTCAATCATCCAATGGAAGGAAACAACTTGTTTAAAGTGCACATTCCATGAACTTTACATGGAAACTAGTAAGTGCAACAGTATAGTAACTTTACATGAAACTACCAAGTGCAACAGCAATTTAAAAGTGTGACACAATTGCCTCTGAACAGCTTGTACATTCAACAAATTTACATTTAAGAACATTACTTCAGAAGATGAAAGGACACTTACCCTCGTACTTATTTCATTATCTAGAATACTGTATCAGTTTCACTGTCATGAATTCAGTTTTTGTTTTTATATTTTATAGCATACAGTATAGTTTTTATACTATTTTCTATTCACAAGATCTTTTTCACCTTTTTTAATACTACACCCAACATATCCTACAATACAGAAATGTGATTCTTTATAACACAGAGAAAACTTTTTACCATATAAACCAAACTTTATACCATAATTTCAGGAAGAAAGGCTGCATCAGCGTAAACGCCGTGGTGCTACTTTGGTAGGCAGTTGCACGGATTTTGGCAAGTAATACAACTTATGATAAGTTATTTATGGTAACATATACTTTGTTGTCATTTTATTTTAAAAATAATGCATTTTTAAAAAAAAAAATAAGCATTTATTAATGCAACATAATGTGTTTTAAATATTATATAGGCTTCTAAATAGGAAAAACATTTAATTTTGTGCATTTTTATTATTGAATAAAAATTTATTTTTTTATGGTATTTTTAAATTTTTTTTGTGGATGATGAATAAATGGTGCCACCTACTTTACAAGTATAGTTTGATATCTATAATTATCTAAGTTTTAAACTTTATTTACGGCTGTTAAATATAATATACAATTTTAATTTAGCCGTTTTTTTTGAAAAATGATTTATTATGTATGGTATTTAAATAATTTAATTCTAGGAGTGATGTAATCAGCTAGGATTGGTTATAGAATATTGTGCATTAACGAGCTGTAAGTAGACTCCCCGATAGGTTACTGAAATATGTGATTACCTCGCCATTTTAAAATTAATCTATCTTCGACTTCTGCAAAGATGAATGTTGTTATTGGCAAGTACCACGAAATTATGGATATCGTAATCAAAAATTGTCGTTTGTATTTCAGGGAAGGTGCGGTTAAAGGATCTTCAAAATCTTAGAAACAATACCTATTATTGGAGGGTTCACACCAGAAAAGAAGTGATACTCTAAGGTTGGCCAATATAGAGGACAATCGTGCCAACTGGATAAAGGACCAACAAGGAAAGGGAATGACAATTTCAACTGTAAAAATTCGCTTGCAAGCAAAAGTTACGGCAAAACAAACAAACATAAATGATATCAAAAGGGGGCCTTGTGGTTGTAGCAAATTTATGTGAAAAAGGAAAAAAATATTGCTGTGACGTACTAGAAACAACAGCGGGCAAACAATACAATGGACGGGAGGATAAAAAGGCATTCTTATAAAAAATATGTGACAGATATTTATTAGAGAGGGGGACATTATCACGATATAAATATGGATGAAATACCGTTTTTTCATGAAGAGTTTCAACTCTCCTACAAAGACAACTGTTGATCTGAAAAACTGGTGCAAAACTGTATCTGTGCTTACGACGGGGCACGACAGAATGTCATGTACAGTGGTTAGCTTTGTGCCACAAACGATGACAAGCTAAAGACGATGATTCATTTTTAAAGAAAAAACTATCCGAAGGGAGATTCTTCCTAATGACATAAGTATCTTGCAAACGAGAATGGTTGATTTGTGCGAAACAGCTCAGCATAAGTGGCTACAAAAAGTTTTGCAGTGTATTAAGGGATCTTTTTTCCAACTAAAAGGGTTTGAACTGGATTCATGCCTGCTCATTTACTTAACCAGATTGTCCACAAACTGTCTACGACCATAGCAATAATAATAACCTGGTGGTTTGACAAAAAATCTTACAACACAGATTTGTAAGGTACTAAATCCTTCAAAGTGAGTCCAAAAGTGGTGGGAGTGTTGGAAGAATGAAGGATTACATATGTATACCAAAAGCGGCAAAATGCATGTAGCATCGAAGAAGTTGCAAAGTGGGTAGGAAGTGAGGAAATCAGTGAAAAACATCATCACTAATAGCAGCCTTCCCCCCCCCCCCCCAAAGAAGCTGAAATTATATCCTCAGATAAAGACTGTAAAACAAGAGGATGAATGATCTGGAAGACTTTAATTCAGATAGTTTATTTCTTTTTAATTCATATAGTGAAGAATCAGGTTGGGCTTCATTGATGTACAGTTGCTTAATTCCTTGTAAATAAAATTTAAAATTTTCTTTTGGCATCCAAATTTAATATCTCGTTGTTGCAACATTTTTTAGAATATAGTACGAGTATGACAATTATGGACTTCTTTAGTAGTAAATATATTTTCAACATTTCTTACCTTTAATTTTCTTTTGCGTTATAGTTTCACGTTTTTTTCTTCAGTGAGATCCCGTTTAGGATGAATAAGGCACATAGGTCCGTTCAAGGGAAAGAATGTAAGCAAAATAAAGTTCGCAGAAAGCAACTGAGTGGTCTTTTGTTTCGGAACAGTACCAATCTATGTACAATAACAAGGTCATACAAACTGCACAATGACATCATAGGAAATACTGTTTTTTAATGCACTTAAGTTCTACTTTGGTAGAAACGCCACACCCACTGAAATAAGTTTTAAATACATAAACGATGCGGCCTTTCTTCTGGAAATTACGGTACTTAAATTACCAAATATTTTGGAAGGACATACAAAAATATTTTCTTACTCTCTCAAATTTGAATTATTTATATTGTAGTGGAAATTTGAATTATTTATATTGTAGTGGAAATAAGGGTCATTCCATAAAAAGAACTCTCCTTCCAACAACTGGAGAGCTTGTTAAAAAATTTTTCTTACAGCTCTTTCTTCCACATGCATAGATCATAAATTCTTAATTTTAAATGGGAAGGTCAAAGTATCTAATTCTCTCCAATTTTAAACCATACAACTAATAGCATAAGTTAAATTTTAGTTACGGAGTTAACCTAGAAAAAAAAGGAACTTTGTATTTTCACCAATCAAACTTCATTTTTAATTTTAAGAGTATTTTATTTTAATCAATGTTATTTCCAACGCTCGCACTTCAAAATTGTATTGTCATTGTCAAAGTAAATAACACATTTTATGCATGATTTGCACAATTTCCGCTTACCACGGCAACAACGCTCATAAGACTTTTTGAACACTCATACCTATGGTGGGGATACATTACCAGGTTACGTGTTTTCTCACATAATGGTTACACACACACTCACTGTGAGGACTCAATATAGGGGCTTTATTAAAGTAAGAGGTCCAGAAAAAACTCCAGAGTAACTTTTTACACATGTATCGATTTCCAAATAAAATACCACAGAAACAGTTAATAAAGCTTTGGAAACATCAAAACTGTCTGCAACGGGGATTCATTACCAGATATTAACTTTTGCGTTCACACCTTCACTGTTAAAACTATTCAACTCTTAATTTCTAATGCTTGGCAGATTCACATTTAATACTGCAGTGAGGACAAGGGTCATTCTTTAAAAAAGACTGTACTTAACTGGCTAATTTTTTTTTTTTTTTTTTTTTTTTTTTTTTAAGAAACAAAACTCATTTTTTCACATGCTTAAATAATTTTTAAATTTCAAGAGGACAACATATGTTTATTTCCCTATTTATTTTAATTTTAAATGGAGAGGACAACATATCCTCAAGCTTAATTTTAGTAAAGAAGTTAATCTAAAATAAAAGGGACCTGATTTATGACTTCACATTATCCCTAACCAATATTTCTCTTTCTTCATGTAGAAATTCGAAAGACATTACTTATAACTAAAAACCACATGTAGACATCAAACACTTCTTAAATATGTCTGAGACGAAATCTTACTGCAATCAACGCTGTTAATAATATTACAAAACGAAACTCTCATAAACAGCATACTTTCTTATATTACTAAAAATATTTTCAAAGCGTCACACTTTAGTCTTCAGAGTAAATAACACGTTTTAAGCTGATTTGGACATTTTCCACTTATTACAGCAAAAACTTTTACAAGCTTTTTGTTTTTTTAGCCCCTCGTCACCTTAAGAAACTAATATTTTGTGATGGGATGCCTACCAGGTAAACTATCTTCTCGCATAATGGTTACACATTCACGGTTAGGACTCCATAAAAGTATCTTTACATAATGGCAAATTAATAACAACACATAATGATAACACACAAAAAATAAGAGATTAATAAGGATTTAAACTAAAAACAAAGGAACTCTTATCACTTCATATTTTCACCTACTTTCACAACTTCAACTTTTACAATACATTGTAAGTAATAAGACGAAGCATTCTTAATTAAATACTTCAAAAATACCTTATTTATAACTTTCAACTTCTGGCTGTCACACTCTTAACTCTACAGGCTATAACGCAGTAAATATTTCAATTTTAGACTCTTTGAAGCAAATATCAAAATACACCACTTATCAATAGGGACAATACTCCTAATTATTACACAGGATGATTTAACTTCCACACTCTGAATGTATTGCAATCTCTTAATTTATAAGAATTCTGTTTCTGTCACTCTCTTAATTCTATTGACTTTTCGCTGTAAATATACAAAAATACTCAACTTCAGCATTCACACCTTCACTGTGGAAATTATACCATTAATTTCTAAACCGAGGCAGATTCATCCTTTATATTGTAGTTAGGACAAGGGTCATTCTTTAAAAAACACTTCTACCTAAGTACCTGGACTCTGGCATTTTTTCACAAGTTTAAATTATACGTTTTTAACTTTTAAAAGGAGAGGACAAAACATGTCTACTTCTCTCTGCTTTACAATGCATAACTGTTTGCTTAATTTTAGTAAAAGGATCTAAATCAAAGGAAATTACCAACCGATATTTCATGGTTGCACAAGTTCAGAAGATATTACTCATAATTAAAGGCCACTCGCAACTTCATATCAAAAGTAACAAATCGAGAGATCAAATACTTCTCACCTATGTTTCAGTTAAGACCTACTGCAATCAAAGCGATTAATGAAAGTTCAAAATGAAACTACTACTAAACCTAATTAATTTGTAAGAATTTCTAACACGTAGCAGATTTATTATTTATACTGTAATTAAAAACAAGGGACATTCTTTAGTAAACAACTGGCTACCTTTTTAAGAAACCTTTCTTAAAGGAAAATTTTATTTTCGTCCACATGCTTAAGATCATACATTTCTAATTTTAAATGGGGAGGACAAAGTTATCTTTAAATTCTCTCTCCTTTACACAGTACAACTGATAGCTCATGTTAATTTTCAGTTAAGGATTTAAACTAAAAACAAAGCAACTCTCTTATGACTTCATATTTTCACCTACTTCGTTTTATAGCTTTTACAAACTCAGTACTTTTTTATACTATCCACAGTATTTTTAAACCATCACACTTTACACTATTCAAAGTAAAACTCATTCAAGGCATGATTTGTACATTTTCCACTTATTACCACTTACACCAACACCTTTTTATAACGTTTATTGAACACTCATACCTTTACTGTGGTGGGGATTTGTTAGTAGGTTCATTATTTTCTCGCATAATGATTACGAATTCACTGTCAGTACTCAATCAAAGGGCTTCACTAAAAGAGAGGTCACACAATGCACTATTCATGGAAAGTACTTTTAACGCATGGTTCGATTTCCAAAAATCACAGGAACATTTAAAAGTTTATGAATGCCTGTACTCTCCGCAAGGGGGATTTCTTAACAAGTGTTAACTTTTTAATTTACACCTTCAAACTTAAAACTAGTCCATTTAATTAATTCCTAAAGATTTTTAATGCATGACAGACTTATCATTTACACAGTAGTCAGAAAAAGGATTGTAATTCAATAATAACAACTTGCTAATCTTCTTTTCTTTAATTTAAATTTTTTTTTACCACAGGGCACTTTCGGATGCTCAAATTATAAAACTTTTAATTTTAAAAATCGGGGAGGACAACATTTTTCTAGATGTTTGACGCTGTAAGAATGATAAAAAGGAACTAACTTTAAACTTAATGACTTATGACACCTAATTTGTAAGAATTTATATTTTACCTCTCTGTCACACACGGTCAATTCAACAGGCGTTTCGCAGTAATAAGGGACTACATTCTAATTAATATGCAGGATGTACATTCTTAATTAATATGCAGGATGATAGATCTGCAAATTTGATATACTTTTTCTCCACCTTCTGAAAACTCTCCATACCACTCTTATTTAACACACATACATTAATAAAACCATTTCTGCCTACCAACACTGTTTCTTTTC